AAATTGTATAAATTACCATACATGAGTGCCATTAAGACCAGTTCGTTTTGACCCTCAACTCGCAGCCTCGACTCGTGTTGTAGGGAAAGGCGTTATCCTAGCTGTACTATGGCTAGTGGGATTATTCTACACTTTCAGGAAATATCGCTGTATGCTGATCGGAGCGGCGCTCTCCCTCTCCCTCTCCAAACGTAGGAACCAGGATATCCAAACGGTCCAACTTTCAGCTAGCCTGGAGGTAACCGTAACATAGGGGTTGGTCATAAATGCTGGACATAAATTAACAAGACTATTAGCACAAAAACTAACATAATAAAAGGCTTGTAGCTGAGAGTCTTAAGAGCTAGTTGCTGTTGTTTGGGACCCAGGCTCAGGCCCTGGGGAGTCAGCATAGCTAAACGGACAAGAGCACATGTATAAGTGTGAGGATGGTACTAGTGATTGGCTATATGTGTTTAGGGGAGTGGTTATGGGTTTGTAGTGGGGCAGGGATCATCTTACCTCAGTGCCTTTTGGGATTCTGGCCAGCAAACAACTTTCCACCCACCGACCCTAATTTTCTGTTTTTGTTCACAGCTAGCGGGAAGCGTGTCCTTGCCAACAGGGTTGGGGAGCAGATGGAATGTCAGGAGATGGACATGGTGGGTCTCAACCTCCCCTGCTCTGTACGGTAAACTTTTAAGTTACCGAATAGGACGTGCCCACCGAGCAAAAAGCCGGCTGGTGGTAGAGAATTTAAGATGATGGGAATTTTTGGTTTCGAGGAGTGAGGCGAGACACCAGTGGGTAAAGTTTTGGTGCATAATCACCTGGTTAACTTCGTTGGCAAGGACGGTTATTTAAGTTGGAGGCTGTAGGGCAATAAGTGTAAATTATATGTTAATTTATATGTTAATTATGGTATGTATATATATTTATCTGTTTATTTATATTTGAATTAAAGAAAAAGAATAAAGTTCGGATGAGTCCTACAGTTGTAAGTTTAATAAATGCTGTGGCCTGTTTCATCCAATATTCGTTGTTTGTCATTATTGGGGGGAGAATTGGGGTAGTCTCCTTATTCTTAGTCACACCACATTCCCCGCTATATATCATATCAATACAGTCAGGTGGTCAAATGAGAATACAATCTGGATTGGGTTTTCATTTTAATTTTTAATACATCTGAACAATATGAACTGGTATTATATTGTATAGCTGCAAAAAATTATATTCTTTTAAACTCGTAATTTTTCTGCATTTTACTTTTAGAGGGAGTAGCACGGAAAACTTTTTCAAGGTCTTGTGAAAAACGGAGCTCTTGTGGAATTTCTGGAACCATTGGTTACCTGAAAGGAAAAGTGAAAACTGCAACCTCCTGTTGTTTCACAGATGGCTGTACTCCTTCCAGTCCTGCATGTAAGTGATAATATCTTATCAAACACACACACTTCTCTACAATGTAAAACATTACCTATGCTCTTTCCCAAATCCTTACGTATATTTAAACAAATGGAGGTTTTTAGTTACCTCCAATGGCCATGAGTGGGTATGCCCACCTGCCACGTCAAGGCAGACCTCTTAGGTGGGTACTAACTCTAACCATTCACCTTGCTTCCTTGAGCTTCTGGCAAAGATATCTCTAATGAGACAGAAAGGGGTATTTTTTTTGTATACATCCCTACATGCTTATTAACCCTTAATAGGGAACACATGGAGGTTTGAGCGCAGGACTTGGTTTTTTTGTATCACACAGCTATGTTACAATGCTGCTACCCACCTAAAAGGCAGGTGGGCATACCCTCTCATGGCAGGTGGGCATACCCTCTCATGGCCAGTGGAGGTAACTAAAAACCTCAATTTGTTTAAATATACATAGGGATTTGGGAAAGAGCACAGGTAACTTTTTTTTCTTTGGTTTTTACTGTATGTATTTGGGCTGATGTGTACTATGGTCGTTGCTGCCACCCAGGAGTAATAGGAGTTTGAGCGCAGGACTTGGTTTTTTTGTATTTGACTTCTCTACTGTGTTTTGGATTGATTTCCCATTTTTACAGAGGTATTTAACCCTGAATATGAATATACAGAATGGACACATAGAAACTTTATTTTCTGACGACAATGGTTCTGCCACAAACAAAGCAGCATTGTTAAAAACCAGTATCAAACTGGCAGCACTTAAAGTCACCAAAACAACTTTAACTTAATGAAGCAGTTTTGGTGTATACATCATGCCCCTGCAGTCTCACTGCTCAATTCTCTGCCATTTAGGAGTTAAATCACTTTGTATATGAACCCTAGTCACACCTCCCTGCATGCGACTTGCACAGAATTTCTAAACACTTCCTGTAAAGAGTCACCTAAAGTTTATCCTTCCTTTATTGCAAGTTCTGTTTAATTTAGATATTCTTATCCCCTGCTTTGTTAATAGCTTGCTAGACCCTGCAAGAGCCTACTGTATGTGATTCAAGTTGAATTTACAGAGAAAGAGATACAATTGTTTAACCCGTTAAAGACTGGACTGTTTTTGCGATGTTGTACATTTGCGACCAGGCATATTTTTACATTTTTGTGGTGTTTGTGTTTAGCTGTAATTTTCCGCTCTCTCATTTACTGTTCCCATACAAATTATATATTGTTTTTTTCAGGACAAAAGGGGCTTTCTTTACATACCATTATTTATATAATCTCATGTAATTTGATTTTAAATTTTTTTAAAAATTTGATGAAAAATTTAGAAAAATACATGTTTTTTGACTTTTACTTGAAAAATCTTTTACTCATCTACAAAAGCAAATTAAAAAACTGCTAAATAGATTCAAAATGTTGTCCTGGGTTTAAAAATACCCAGCGTTTACGTGCTTTTTTTCTTTTTTTTTTTTGCATGTTATAGGGCTATAGGTACAAGTAGGATATTGCGGTTTCAAAACATACATTTTTAAAATTTATCAATAGTGACATTGTAACACTATTATCTGTCATAAATCTCTGAATAACACCCCACATGTACATATTTTTTTAAAAGTAGACAACCCAGGGTATTCAATATGGGGTATGTCCAGTCTTTTTTAGTAGCCACTTAGTCGAAAACACTGGCCAAAGTAAGCATTCATATTTGTTTGTGTGTGAAAAAAGTAAAAAAACTAAATTGAAGCTAATTTTGGCCAGTGTTTGTGACCAAGTGGTTACTAAAAAAGACTGGACATACCCCATTTGCAATACCTTGGGTTGTCTTCTTTTGCAAATGGTATGCCATCATGGGGGTAATTCTCATTCCTGGGCTACCATACGCTCTCAAAGGCAACGTAACCAACCTGGCCATTTTCAATGTAAAAATATTTGACCCATATATTTGACCTTGTAACTTTCAAAAATGCTATAAAACCTGTACATGGGGGGTACTGTTTTACTCGGGAGACATCGCTGAACACAAATATTAGTGTTTAAAAACTGAAAACGTATCACAACAATTATATCATCAGTAAAAGTGCTGTTTGTGTGTGAAAAATGCAAAAAAAAAGTCACTTTCACTGACAATATCATCGCTGTGATATGTTTTACTGTTTTGAATCACTAATATTTGTGTTCAGCGAAGTCTCCCGAGTAAAACAGTACCCCCCATGTACAGGTTTTAGGGTGTCGTAGAACGTTACAGGGTAAAATATAGTGCTAGCAAATTAAATTCTCTGGACTTTCGGCCTGGGTTGGCAGGCAGGTCCCTCAAATTGCAATCAATAAAATTACTTAATTATGTAAAATATTACATAAATACGCACATAGAATTTAAATATATATGCATATTTATATATTTGAAGTCTACGTGTATATTTATATAATTATTTATGTAATTTTGTATATGGACATATGTATATTTCGTATTATTTTTATTTATTTATATATACATAGATATATATACAAATTCATTCTAAGTGTATTTTGATATAAATATATATATATATATATTAAGTTTAAAATACAGTTAGAATAAAATTTCATATAGATATATAATTTCTTTTAAATTTTTATTATTCTTTTTAAAAAATTACATTTAATTTAAATTACTTATTATTTATATTTCATAATAATATATATATACAATATATATAGTTATTATATATATTATATATATACGTGTGTAATTTAATTATGATTGTATTTTTATATTAATATAAGTACATATTAATATAAAAATACACTTAGTATGACATTATATATATGATATATAGACATATATATTTTATTTTTTTTAATTAACATTAAGTTTATTTATTTTTTATTGATTTTACAGTTGCAGGGAGACACATGGACACCTATTATGACCATGTGATCGCTTTGTTGAGCGATCACATGGCCACAGGGGTCCTAATCCAGTGTGGGGAGACTGTCTGGGCTGAGGGCAGTCTGCCCACAACGGGAGCAACACTGATCGCCGCCGGGGGAACGACGGCGATCAGGTAAGTAACTAGGACCGTTAGGATGGTTCAGGACCGTCATCGGTCGGCAATGGGAAAATGCCGATGACGGTCCTGAACCGTCCTCGGTCCTTAAGGGGTTAAGGTAAATTACATCTGACTGAAAGTGAAACCTGTTTTTATTTTCATGCAGGCTGTGTCAATCAGAGTCAGGGGAGGTATGACAAGGGTTGCATAAACAGAAACAAAGTGATTTGACTCTTCAATGACAGTGAATTGAGCAGTGAAACATGAGAAGCATGATCTATCCACAAAATCTGCTTCATTAAGCATAAAGTTGTTTAGGTGACTATAGTGTTCCTTTAAACACAATTAAAACATAGGCAACAATTAAAAAGGACAAGGAATGAGTTGCAAAAAAGGTATCTCACAGCTGCTAGTTATAATGTTCAATGACTCTTGAGCTGCTGGTAGGGTGAAGGTGATGAGTGGAAATATAGCAGGAGAAAAGAACCTGGTTCATTGGGAGACTTAGGTCACTGGAACATAACATGAAAGTGAAGAGCACAGTCTGAATAGGGTGGTTTGAGAAGTTGTACTGCTGTCCATTAGTAGAAACATCCTTTTCTTTTTCTTAAATTCTCCTTGTGTGGGAAGATAAGTGTGTAGGGGCACAGTGATGTTCTTATGAAATCATCCAAGCACCATAGTGGTTATGTAGTGGTTATGTTGCCAGGAGTGTTTTGACCATTTAAGAATGGTTTGACAACTTACCTGGATTCCGCTGTGTACCTGTATTTGCCTCACCAAGTCTCTGGTATTTCATTGATCATATTGACAGTTCCACTCTCTGAAGTGGGAGAGCAGGAACTAAAGTTTTGTTCTCCCTTCATGTCTTTCAGAATGGCTTCTTTTTCTATCTTCCCATTGTCAGCCTTAGAAAAAGATTGCCTTGATCACCATAAGTTAATTTTATTATGCACTTTTCATATCACATCAAGCCACCTATCACAACTTTGCTGAACTGGGACGAGGGGAGCACTCGGTCAACCCCTAAAGTACTTCATCAAAGTGAATGCTGAAATGGCTTTAGGGGTCAGGAGCAGCCTCAAATTGCCAGCACATTTGGAGGACCTTGATGCCCTGACAAGAAAGATCAAAGGATCCACCTTGCTGACCCAAGCAGGGCAACACATTTACAAAAAGGGCACTCTTTCTGACCCCCAGGGATTTGTGTGTGTTTCATCCATGGCCCAAGGTAACAGCATGGAGGGGGAATTAATGCTTTATGTTGCTAATAATTATTCAATTATTAAAGCCCCTATCCCACCCCTATGCACACCTACTAACCCCCTTACTATACCCACAAAACACATACTAGACCCCTACCTGCACACACTATACCCTTATACATACAAACTATACCCCCTGCACACATGAAAACTAAAGCCCATGTAGAAATACAAGCGTGCACACACACACACACACACACACATACTACAGTTCCTATATACACAGTGCAACAACAGTACAATCAAACACACTGCAGCCTCTATACAAACACAATACACTCCCAGAGACACACAACCAACAGTCGATATACTCATACAATATTGCCTCTACCAACGCACACAAATGTACATATTATACATTACCTAGATGTCATAAGTCAAGTCACGTCTTTGTGCTGATCTATAAACCTTTTCAGCATAAAAAATATAAAAGAATCTCAAAGACCTAGGTTCCTTGACAAACTTATCAGAGCAGGGAATTGATGAATTTGTGGATACTCATAAAACCTAGCTGAGAAATGCATGGCTGTAGCTGAATAAGTTACAGCATTCTGCCGTAAAGTGATAGGATTAGAAGAGCATTCTAGACATAACTCTGAACATTCAAGCCATTCCAGAAATGTTCTCTATATGAATTCAACCAATATCTTCAGAAAGTGCTCTGAAGTATCTTAAAATAAGCCCCAGAGATTTTCTAGGAAAATCTCATTAACTTCCATGACATGTATCCACTAAAAATAATCCAATGGATGATTCCACAAAAGTTTCTTATTTCATACAAAGGCTTCACAAATTGTAGTCTAAACCTCAGATATCTCTAGAATTATCCTCTCTCCAGATCTCTCTGCTCTTGTAATTCAACAAAGATAAGAAAATTCTAGTTTTACCTCTGCACTACAGATTGCCAAACATCCAAAACAACTGGTGTGATATATTTCCAGTAAGTTTGGTCATGATTTTCACTCTCCACCAAAATATGAAACTAAATCAGGCCCGATAGTGTGAAGTACTTCCAAATATTTGTGGTCATGAATCATAATACAATATGGTCCTCCAATGCTGTCACCAAATATCCATAATTTTTAATTTGACATAGATGGTTTATTATAACTTTGGTTTATTTAGCAGCATCATTAGTAAGAATTCTTTGCTCTTCATTTATATCAGACTCATCTAGGACAAAAATAATTCAGGTTTGTGTCTTGACAATCTAAACAATTAAGAATATATATATATTATTGTGAGAAGGCATAGATGAAATATAGAATTAGAATGCAGGGGGAAAAAAGCTGTCTGGTTTAATTATTATGGTCAGCTAAGCTCATTCCAAAATATTCTTTGAATGTAGGTCTCTTTGTCTATCTAGCCAAAGGTCCAAAGATTACAATTATCTGTGTCCTCATTATGACGTTCCGCCTCTCTGTTTGTAATTTAAGTGCCAAGTGATAGTACACAGAGGGTTGGTCTGACCTGTTCCAGTTGCACCTCGTTAGACTCTGCCTGGTGTCATACAAAGGAAACCATTGAATGCACTGGGGATGAGAGACGATGCATTTTCAAAGCTACAACCATCTCAGGTACTTCCTTTTCAACTTTCCATTATTCTATTTAAAGCAAAATAGTCACTACACAGTTTATGTGTGCATTGTATTTGCTAATCTATAAAACGATTTTTCAAAAATAAATGAATAATTACTTTAATGTATTACATTGGTTTTTCAGGTCCCAAGTACAGCAGATCAGCAGTCAGAGGCTGTGCCACGAAAACTCTTTGTGACACTGGAAGCCAGAGCCAAGATTTTGGAAATGGAATAAAAGTGAATACAGACGTTACTTGCACGAGTGACAGCACTGATCTACAGCTAAACCTGCTCCTTCTGACAATGGTGTCATTATTATTAGCAAACCTAATGCATTGTACCTAATATCGATGTATTTCTGTGTGTACCTATATATGTATGGATGTACGTATGTGTGTTTGTGCGTCAAACACACAAGAGCATGTGTTAAGCATTGATGCACAATGCATGGGATATTCTTTCAATAATATATAATGTTCAGTAACAGTAATTCTGAATCATAAATGTATCATAGGATTCAAGAATTTACTGTATTAAATGTGGTTTGTCAGTTTGTATTAGGACAAGAGAACAGATATTACATGTAAAGTGAATTGACAGAACTATGGCAGAACTACACATCATCAATAAACTTACAGAAATGATCTAAGAGGAGCATCTGTTTGTATAAATAAAGAATGGTGATACCAATTCTTGAAATTACTGGGGTCATACCAGCACAAAAAAACTCTAATTCACTACAAATGCAAAAAGAAATGGGGGCTCAATATAAGTTGTAGGATGTACTTATTCAATGAACACAAAAAAAACCAGTAAAATAAGGGTGCGCCTAAAATATTTAGTAAAACGTATAAAATATATTAAAGTATTAAAATAAAATAAATGATTTCCAATAGTCCAAAAAACTTATCATAAATCCGTAATGATAGGTCGCACGTGTGGAAAAGGGATTCTTGGGATGTAGAATGGAGTTAAGTCTTCACGGCTATATGCTTGAAATTCAGTGGAGCATATGTGCACATGAAGTGGAATAATCCCCACTCAAGGATATGAGCAATATCAGAGCTGGATTTTAGCTCTGAAAAGTGTGAGTAAGACCATTTTTCACTATTTTATAATTTTATTCCTCTGTATACTGTGCCATTGGAGTCCTGTGTTTATCTTTCTTCTCTCTATATATGCTCCACTGAATTTCAAGCATATAGCCGTGAAGACTTAACTCCATTCTACATCCCAAGAATCCCTTGTCCACACGTGGGACCTATCATTACGGATTTATGATAAGTTTTTTGGACTAACTGGAAATCATTTATTTTATTTTAATACTTTAATATATTTTATACGTTTTACTAAATATTTTAGGCACACCCTTATTTTACTGTTTTTTTTTGTGTTCCTTCTTATTACCAGGGGATTAGAGGGGATTCCCCTTTGTGGCGTGCCGCCTTCCTATTATCTTCTTTTGTGGCAATTTAGCGCTGATGAATGAAGATCCCTTAACAAAAAAAGACAAGCTTGCATTAAATTCTAGACAATGCCAGAGTGGATTAGGATTTGTTTTTACCTTAGGCAGCTCCTCTAGATTTTCTTTTAAGAAAATACTTGCTTCTTCTGTGTCTTCATAGACCATCCAAAAATAATGTTTTCTTAAATTATTTTTAAATTATTTTGTTTGTAATAATCAAATACTGTATGACAAATAAACATGTCCTGTTTTATCAGTACCCACAAAGGACTACCGAAAATGGGACTTAAAGGAACACTATAATCACCTAAATTACTTTAGCTAAATAAAGCAGTTTTAGTGTATAGATCATTCCCCTGCAATTTCACTGCTCAATTCACTGTCATTTAGGAGTTAAATCACTTTGTTTCTGTTTATGCAGCCCTAGCCACACCTCCCCTGGCTATGATTGACAGAGCCTGCATGAAAAAAAAAAAACTGGTTTCACTTTTAAACAGATGTAATTTACCTTAAATAATTGTATCTCAATCTCTAAATTGAACTTTAATCACATACAGGAGGCTCTTGCAGGGTCTAGCAAGCTATTAACATAGCAGGGGATAAGAAAATCTTAATTAAACAGAACTTGCAATAAAGAAAGCCTAAATAGGGCTCTCTTTACAGGAAGTGTTTATGGAAGGCTGTGCAAGTCACATGCAGGGAGGTGTGAATAGGGTTCATAAACAAAGGGATTTAACTCCTAAATGGCAGAGGATTGAGCAGTGAGGCTGCAGGGGCATGTTCTATACACCAAAACTGCTTCATTAAGCTAAAGTTGTTCAGGTGACTATAGTGTCCCTTTCAAGTATGGTTGACAAAACACGTATACCTGTATGTCATAAATAAGACTTTAGCCAAAATGTATGCAACAAACCAGCATGTGTCAGGCCTAGAATATGTATGATATAGAAACAAATTCAAAGGGTGGGGTAAATGGCACATTAGTGAAACGTTGGGTAAGCTATGGAAGAACAGATTATGCAATATATAGAGGTTAAAGATTTAGCCCAAGAAATGCAAAAACAATAAGTAAAGTTTTTTTAGCATATCCACTTAGAATTCAGCATTCAATGGTGTGACATATGTATGGTCATTTGTTGACAATAACATCAGAGTAAATGGAACATAAAAAATAAAGCATTGTTTTGTAATGTTTCCTATTTTTAAAGACAATATTGCTGAGGTGACACACTGCAGGGTTAAATCTTGCCATAATGGTGGGGTCACACTGGACATGTGCAAAGTTGGATACTTCTAATGTGAAGCATTAAACACGATGCTTCCCTATGATTAATCTTAGTGTTTGGTGATGCTGAACATGAAGATGATGAGGAAGTGCTTTGAGTAGTTTAGAAGCTGTCAGTTTGAGACAAAACTAGACACAGAACGTGTGCTTCTCAGTGAATGTGAATGTCCCTTCTCAAGGGATAAACTGCTAATCTTAGAAATTGTATGTTATCTTCAAATTGCAAATTTTAGGGCAAAGTATTTTTGCATTACCTAGTCGGTTCCCCGTAATTCATGCTTTAGTGAATCTGATAGGCCAAGTAGTACATGTTCTATTAGTAATGTACCCTTGGGGCTTACAAGGATGGAAGGAAAGTGTGTTAAAGGGACACTATAGTCACCTGAACAACTTTAGCTTAATGAAGCAGTTTTGGTGTATAGAACAAGCCCCTGCAGCCTCACTGCTCAATCATCTGCCATTTAGGAGTTAAATCCCTTTGTTTATGAACCCTAGTCACACCTCCCTGCATGTGACTTGCACAGCCTTCCATAAACACTTCCTGTAAAGAGAGCCCTATTTAGGATTTCTTTATTGCAAATTCTGTTTAATTTAAATTTTCTTATCCCCTGCTATGTTAATAGCTTGCTAGACCCTGCAAGAGCCTCCTGTATGTGATTAAAGTTCAATTTAGAGGTTGAGATACACTTATTTAAGGTAAATTACATCTGTTTGAAAGTGAAACCAGTTTTTTGTTTTCATGCAGGCTCTGTCAATCAAAACCAGGGGAGGTGTGGCTAGGGCTGCATAAACAGAAACAAAGTGATTTAACTCCTAAATGACAGTGAATTGAGCAGTGAAATTGCAGGGGAATGATCTATACACTAAAACTCCTTCATTTAGCTAAAGTAATTTAGGTGACTATAGTGTTCCTTTAATGAGTATGTATTTTTTTTTTGTAATACCATACCAACCAGCAGTGCCTGCATGTCACATTCCCCTGAGGGATCCTTCACTACCACTCAGGCTAATCCCAGAACTACATAAACGCTTTCATTAACCATGATGTCTGGAGATTTTGAAAATGGACAGTAATATATAGTTATTGCAGTGAATACAGTTAACAATATGCATTATTATGAAGCCACTGTGTGGTTCACCAGATCATTTTGACGTATGGTGATCTAGTTCTAATGGACAGAATATGTCCTTGTTTACATTGCAAATATAGCACATGCATTCTCTAAATAAATGACTAAAACAGAAGGTAGGTGTCGTTAGTTGTGGTTTGTACTGGGTATGTGAAAATAAAAAAGGAAATTAGATATCAATGTCTGTAGCGGACCTCGGGTAACCCAACTCGTTACCTCCGGAATTTCCTTCTTTCAGCCGGACAGGAACCACTTACAATGTAAAGAGACCCATTTTCCCCCAAGTAACTGGACAAGACCTAGTTCTGGAGGTACAAAACGATTTTATTGGCCACACACTGCTTTTATGCATACCCAGTGCAAGGGGTGGATCACACAGACATACGAAGACACATCCCTCAATCCTCCCCCTCCCCAAGGTCCCAGTGCGGGAAGGGACTCAGTTCCCTTTGCCCCCAAAGCCCGCCACTAAATCCCCGGGGTTCCCCACACCAACCGCCAGGGTTCTTCTTCACAAGAGCCTCTGTGCCTGTGAGTCTAGGCACGGGAAAAAGGGACAATCTATAGCGGAGCTCCCTATACCCCGGCTGGGTACCTCCGCCAGAGAGGTTAAACAACTGACAATCTTTATCGAAAGCAGGCTTCTTTTATGCACAGACCCCCGCAGGGGGGGCAGGAGGGTGTTGGGTTACAGATAGCTATCTCCCGCTCTGGGAGATACCAACAGTGCACAGGGACACACATTAAAACATATTCCATACAGGGGGATAACCTTTGGGGCTCACTGCCCGGGGAAGAGAAGAGGTAACATAGATAAAACCTACATCACTAGATAGCCCCGGGTCTCATCTGGGATCCCTGCCAAAAAACGGGGCAATCGGATGTACAGAGCCAAGAAACCATCGTCTAAAGATCTGGGACTGGGATTTGTACATCCCCGAAATTAGTTCCATAAAGTTGCTTGGTTTAGTCCGGCGAATTCAAACTTTGCGCCCAAACCAAGCAACAACCAATCAGCTGAAAGGGAGGAGAGGAGTTTCACTGCCCAATCAGGCAAAAGGGCACGAAACTCGATTACATCGATCGGCGCTCGGGAGGAAAGGAGTTTTGCTGCCATTTAAGAGGGAGGGCACATTTCAATGGGCGCTCATTCTCTGATTGGTAGCCTCACAGCTCCAAGAATTCCCTGCTGGCACGTGCCTCTCTCTCCGGTGGTTACCTCCACGCAGGAGATTTGAGTTTCATGCACTCAACAGACAAACACCGCTCTATGTGTTTGCGGCTAAAGATGGCCACCGCCACGTGTTCGCACATACGAACGACGGCCACCCAGCTAACCACTTAGAACATTGTGGTTAACGAGGTCAATAAGGTTAAAAAGCAGCTCATGTCTCTCACGGGTGGTCCGAGAGTTCCGGAGTTGGTTCGGTCCATGAACACAATACTCCTAATCCGTTCAGTAAGCCCCATCTACCGAACCATATAAGTCTAAAGGCACAAACAGAGCCTGTTGAACGTGCAGGGGCCAAGGTCTAATGCAGGGGCCATGGTCCTGAGGTAGGAGGCTCCTCCAAGAGCCAGTGGCGAGGTTACTTTTGCCACAGGTGTTATGGAATTTTGTTGAGAAAGACTTCTGTTCTAGAGTGAGATGGTTAAAGGGCACTTCTTGTTCTCTTACCACGAATTCCTTTTACCCAGGATGGAACCTACGTCACTTCCTGTTGCATGCACTGGAATGCACGGCTCTTCCTGTTACCAGCAATGGAATGCACAGGACACACTTCCTGTTCTCCCCCCTCATGAACTTATTGCACTTTCGTTTTTCCTCTCCCTGGAACAAATGCTCTGTTATATGCAAAAAGGTTCCGGTTAATTCCCAACCTGCAGATGGATTTTATGCCCCCCTGTAATGGATCACCTGGCACCCCAACTGAGTACCTCCATTAACGGATGCTTCCTAGCTGACCCCGAAGACTATAAGCACCGCACCGGACACCACAACCACCGCAGACTCCACAACCGCCGTAGCTTAACTGGAATCTCTTCTTCCTTCCACCTCTGACATCCAGGACCGTGTGGGAGAGACCTCTCCTCCAGGACAGCGTAACAGGAGCAGCTCTTAAAAGAGCTAAGTGATTAGAGCCCAGGGGAGTATAGAAAGTATAGCAATCCCCAGTGTGATAATAGCAGTTCCCCTCCCAAAATCACCCAGATCAGAGCAGGGGTTCATGAAATTCCTCGAAGTCATATTTGACCGACCGCAAGCTTCATGCCCAAAACAGTTCCAGGGAATTAGCCTGTGCGGCCAGTCTATTTTCAATGTTAAAAGTGCACTATAGTTTAAGGAACGGTGGGGTCAGACAATAGCAAGGGCTAATGGGAGATTGAGGAGGGACAAAGCAGCCATGTTTAAACTGGTCTGGCAGTGTCCCTGGGACAACGTTCTGCTGGGGAAACAATAGGACAGGAAAAAGGGGGAGGGGAAGAGTCACATTTTCTCATGTAAGTCACTTTTTAACATGTCTTTTTGCAGGGTCCATAGTCTTTGGGCAAAAGGCTGGCCATTAGTCCTCTCCAAAAACCAGTGGCGAAATTGATTTTGTCACAGTTATCTGTAACCCATCCCCCTTCTCCTGCCTGGGACAAAGGATTGTGTTGAACTGAATTGAGTCCCTCTGTGGGGGTCTGTACTTAAAAGCTGTGTGTACCAATAAAGGATTGTCAGTGTTTTTACCTCCAGAACTGTTGGGGGGAATGGATGCCTGCTTGTTGTAAGGCTTCCTGAATGGTTGAAGGAAGGGAATTAGCCGGTCGGGTTACCAGTGGTCAGCTACAGGAGTGCAGTTTCACAATAGTACCTATTTCTGGGTCGAGTCCCTCTGCCCATCTTTAGTAGAATGTTATTCTATATTTGGAGAAACCAGGGAGCTGTTCCCAGATAGCTCCGCACGAGCATTTCAGGAGACATGATTTGTTCAAGGTTAGGGTAAGGGGATATGTTTAGGGGTTCGGTTTGGGGTTAGCGGTAGGGACGGGGTTAGGGGAAGGATTAGTGTAGGGTTGGGGTTCACGCTAGGGTAGAATTAGTGGGTTAGGTCAGGGTTAGGATGGGGAGGGTTAGGATTTAGGGTAAGGTTGAGGGTTGGGGTTAGGGTTGTGGTAGGGTCAGGGTGTGGGTGATGTTGAAGGTTAGAGTGAGTGTGGCGAACAGAACCTCGCCACGAAGCAGCAATTAGAGGAGGCACCCAGTCGTGGTGCCAAGCGATCCGTCACAGTAAGGTTCAGGGTTTGGAGTTAGGTTAAGGGGGTTAGGGTCAGGGGGGAGGGTTAAGGTAGGGTTCACGTCAGGGTGTTAGGGTGAGGGTTAGCATAGGGTTAGGGCTCGACATGGGCAATTTGTTTGGTTGCTAATATGAATTTTGACGACTTTCAGATGCTTCCGAATGTCCGAAGTGGATGAATTTCCGAAGTCAGGATCAGGATAAGTGTTAGGGTCAGGATCAGGGATGGGGGTCAGGGTGAGGGTTAAGTTGATGTGCACTTGTATATTTATATTGGAAGAGTTTTTCCAATATAAATGTAAGGGTATATTTTATAATCTTATATCTTATAATGTACATCACCTTCTCTTATTATGAAGTGACTCTATCTTCTGTGATGTTATATAAAATCTCAAATCTAAAATAACAATTTTTGGGGGGGGTTCCTACATTGCTCTGAATTTCAGTTTGGTCTAAATTGATCCTTTCTGAATTTGGGACCGCCCTAATCTCTGGTAAAGAACCCAACAAGAGAGCTCAAAGAGTAGTTCACAGAAGATTTTGAGCACCACCTTGTGGAATATCTGTATATCTCACACACACTTGTACAGAAAGACATACTAAAGAGATTAATGCTGCCCCTTAGTGGTTACCTGTGTGCACAGCATATATAAATATATATTTTCTAGCTGAACTACATCCCCCAGAAGCGTCAGCTCTTCCCACAGATTCTGCTCCGCAGAGGATCCTGGGAGGAGGTCACTTTTTGCTCCCGGAAGTGATTACATCTATGTGAGTTAGTTCAGGATCTGTGACCCGGAAATAAATTTAAAGAAAGGTTTCTGGGTTTTTGTAGTTCTGTGAAGCTCTTTCATACAGTAGAATGCTAATAGCAGAACTACATCTCCCAGAAAGCCCAGATCTTTCTCCGCAGAGGATCCTGGGAGGAGGTCATTTCTTGCTCCCGGAAGTGATTTGGATTTTGTGCGCTTGCAAGTTCTGTGACCCGGAAATCGTGTTGGAGAAAGGTTTCTGGGTTTTGTAGTTCTGTTAAGCTCTTTCATACAGTAGAATACTAATGGTGGAACTACATCTCCCAGAAACCCCAACTCTCCCCACAGTCCATGCTCCGCGGAGAATCCTGGGGGAATGTCACGTCCTGCCCCCGGAAGTGATTGGGCGTTTTTGTTTTTGGCGGGAATGCTAGGTGTGTGACCCGGAAATGAAGTGTAAGTATCTTGTCTGACGCCCCCTGGGTGTTTTGTTCCATGATTGCTATCCATGTCATGCATTAAACCTGAATGGCTCCATTTCAGCAGGTGGAGCTCAGTATTGAAGGAACATTTAGCCAGGTCTACGTTCCCTGTGTTTATGGCTTTTATCACTGAGCCTAACATGTATTGCTGAACTGTCATTCCCATTATCCCTGCACTGACTGACTACTACCATTCCCATTATCCCTGCACTGACTGACTACCATTCACATCATCCCTGCACTGACTGACAACTACCATTACCATTATCCCTGCACTGACTGTATACTACCATTCCCATCATCCCTGTACTGACTGACAACTGTCATTCCCATCATCCCTGCACTGACTGAGCACTACCACTCCCATCATCCCTGGACTGACTGAGCACTACCATTCCCATTATCCCTGCACTGACTTACTACTACCATTCCCATTATCCCTGCTCTGACTGAGTACTAGCATTCCCATTATCCCTCCACTGACTGACAACTACCATTCCCATTATCCCTGCTCTGCACTTACTGAGTACTACCATTCCCATTATCCCTGCTCTGCACTGAGTGCTGCCATTCCCATTATCCATGCCCCGTCTAATAGAATAGGTGAACTGACATACAAGTATTTAGGTGAGATGGACACACAGGAAGTCCCTAATTTGGTACCTTTAGTTATGTTAATCTCACGTAAAGATACCCCATTAAAGGACCACTATACGCACCCAGACCACTTCAGCCCACTAGGGTTAACCCTGCCTGCTGTAAACATAGCATTTTCAGAGAAACTGCTATGTTTACATATGGGTAAATCCAGCCTTTAGTGGCTGTCTCATTGACAGCCGCTAGAGACGCTTCTCACTGTGACTTTCACAGTGAGAAGACGCCAGCGTCCATAGGAAAGCATTGAAAATGCTTTCCTATGGACTGACTGAATGCGCGTGCGGCTCTTGCCGTGCATGCGCATTCAGCTGATGGCGTCCAAAGGAGGAGGAGAGTCCCCAGCGCCGAGGGAGCCTGGCGCTGGAGAAAGGTAAGTGTTTAACCCCTTCCTCCAACTTCAGCCCGGCGGGGGGAGGAGGACCCTGAGGGTGGGGGCACCCTCAGGGCACTATAGTGCCAGGAAAACGAGTTTGTTTTCCTGGCACTATAGTGGTCCTTTAAGGATCTATCAACTAAAGAGCTGAAAGTTGACAATTGAGTCGAAAAAAATCTATTTTCTTATTGTAGCTGTTTCACTTGTCTAGTAGATAGGTCCCTTCTTTTGTATCCTTTATTTTTGTCAATCTCATTTATTGTTACTCACTTCTACTAAACAGCGGAAAATTTAAATTATGAAAGCTTATTTGTTAATTTTGATCTTTCATGTAGATGTTTATTAAGTAGCTCCCTAATTTGATACCCTTATGTTGGATTATCCTTTTTAAGGATTCAAGATTAGTGAGCTGTCTGATAAACATAATTCTAATTTGGTATCATTTGGAATAATGGTTAAAATATTTTTTTCCATGCCTTAGGACATATTTATGTATGCACAGTTGTTGATGTGCACTTGTATATTTATATTGGAAGAGTTTTTCCAATATAAATGTAAGGGTATATGTTCTAATCGTATATTTTATCATGTACATCACCTTCTCTTAATATGAAGTGAATATCTTCTGTGATGTTATATAAAATCGCAAATCTAAAATAACAATTTGTTTTAGTTCCTACATTGCTCTGAATTTCAGTTTGGTCCAAGTCGATAATTTCGGACCGCCCTAATCTATGGTAAAGAACCCAAGAAGAGAGAAAATCTGAAATGTTTAAGATAGCGCAAAGAGTTCACAAGTTTTTGTGCGCCACCTAGTGGAATATCTGTATATCTCACACACACTTGTACAAAAAGACATACTAAAGAGATTAATGCTGCCCCTTAGTGGTTGCCTGTGTGCATAGCAAATAAATATTTATTTTATATTTTTTTGTAGCTGAACTACATCCCCATATGCTTCAGCTCTTCCTACCGACTTTGCTCCACAGATGATCCTGGGGGGAGATCACATTTTGCCCCCGGATGTAATTGAAACTTTCTGAAGGACAGCTAGGTCTGTGACCTGGAAATGAAGAGTAAGTAGCTGGTCTATCTTGTCTAATGCCCCATGGATGTTTTTTTCCATGATTGCTATCCATGCCATGCACTAAACCTGAATGGCTCAATTTCACCAGTTGGAGCTCAGTATTTCAAGAACATTTAGCCCGGTCTAGGTTTCCTGTGTTTATGGCTTGTGATGATATGTCTGCGGTAATACATAGTAACAATAATTTTTTTGTCAAAATTATCACAAATAATAATAATTTTAATTAATATAAAAAATATATATATAAATATATATATATATATATATTTTTTTTTTTGCCACTGTTTCCTCTTGATTGATTTAAAGCAAAGGGTTACCCACTATTTGCACTCTTATAGACCCTGGAATACGTTTATTAGAGGATCTGTGTTTCAGACATTAATTACAACTAATTCAAAAATATAATTTATTTTGCCATCTAAATAATATGTAATACGAATTAAAACAATCCCTGAATGTTTGGTATAATAATAGTTTAAAATATGTCAACAATTATGGCAACAAAAACCACTCTTAAATCACTCATAGAAATCTTCCACCAGTCGGGTCAATATGTTAGCAGGTATTAGTACCGGTTTTCAAAACACATGAATATTCAAATAGCTAATTAGCAACATAACGTTTACTTAATTTCCAAATGATTTACATGCTACAGAAAAGAAGTTCATCAACAATTACTTGCATAGATACGTACCCCAAAAAAAAACTTTGCAATGCTTTATAAAACATTCAGTGTTCTGGTTTCAAAATCCATTAAACCCAGAATGAAGAGTTACCCCGGCACCACTGTGGTGATACATTACTATGGGCTAGATAATACATTAGCTCACGGTTGGCACCTCTCACAGCTGGCACTTTCTGCCAACACTAAAATCATATGATAGAGCTTTCCAAATTTTTTACAGGTTCTTGTTAGAGTTTAATATTGTCAATAAATTTTCCATGGAGACAAGGTTTGCTTTAATTTCTTTTTGCCCCTTTCACTTAAAACTGTCTTTCAATAGTATAAAATTATATTTAACCAGCATTCACCATTATATCCTCAATTTATGGCCTAACAGACACATTTTCGTTTCATCCTGTCAGATTAAAACAATAAGGGCTCCACCCTTATTCCTACACCTAGATTACCTATGCATGATCAACTGTTCCGGTTAGTTTTGGATCTCATATATCCCTCATCGTTTGAAACTCAAACAAATCACATCATACAAACCACCATTTATCTGGCTTTCTATGGCTTTCCAAGGCTAAGAAAATTCACTGCTATAAATGTCAACACCCCAGACTATCTCAAAAAAGCTTACCTCATAAAAAAACATGACTATTATGTACTTTCCCATAACCATACAAAAACTAGCGGAAGGGGTCAGTCACCAAAAATCCCTTTATGACCCTACCGACAATCATGGTGCCCCGTCAAAGTTCTGGATTCATACCGCCTTTCAAAGGTTATGGGGTTAGGATTAGTGGTTAGGGTTGGGGGAGGTTTAGGGTAGGGGTTAGGACTAGGGGGTGAGTGTTGTGGTAGGGGGCTCGGCTTGGGAGGTTAGGGTAAGGTTAGAGTTGTTAAGGGTTGGGGGCTTAGGGTTAGAGAGTCATGGAATAGGGGGTTACGGTTAGGGGTTGGGGTCAAGGTTTGGGTTAGGGTGGGGGGTTTAGTGTTAGGGTTGTGGGGGTTTGGGGTGAGGGTTAGGGTAGTGGGGGTTGGTTAGGGTTAAGGTGGTGGGGGGGTCTAGTGTTAGTCTCCTCTCCCTCTTTTTTAGTGTTCTTTTCTCCCTCCTCCCCAGTTCCATAGTGTTCTTTCCACCCGCCTCCCCTGTCCCATCGTGTTCCCCCCCTCCCCTGTCCCATAGTGTCATTTTATCCCCTCCCCTGTTCCAGTGTTCTTTCCCCCTGTTACAAGAACCCTACAAACTGTTGCAGAAGTGCTTCCTGTTGTTTCCCAATACCATGTTTGGTATTCAGACGGTGCAAACACATTCCCCGACCTGTTATAACTATTTATTAGTATATCCGATTGTCGGACCACCCAGCCCTTGGCGCGTGCCGCCACTTAACCCCGGTCACCTTTGAAAGTACCGAACAGCCAACCACCCCACGAGCGGAGTGTGATGCTAATTGATAGCCGGGAAGCTGTGGTCTGCGGTTAACCACAAGCATAACTATCTCCGGGTGGCTTCGTTCGTGTAATAATTCACCGAACTGAACTCCCGAACGAGGCCCACCCGCATCCTGGCGTGTGTTCTCAATTATAATGTTGAAACTGCGGTTAACCGCAGCTTAAGTACTCCCTTCCATGGCGGTCTCCGTTCGGTAAGACAACCAGCCTGTAAGCGGGATTCGTGTAATTGTTCAGTCGTTACTCATTTCAGGTCCATGTCCCGCTGTCCATCTATCAACCTAAAAACATGGCCGCCTTCTTGTATTCGGGACAAAAGACACAAATGGACTTTATATCAAGGAACCTAGCCATATCATTCGTGAGTTCTGAGCGCTATTCGTCCATCTGCTGTGCTCAGAACTGGGCTACATAATGCACGGTGGAATGGGAAATATGTCTGTTAAAGTATTAAAGTTATGTAATTTTATACAGTTTTCTATGTTGTAATAAAACGTGGGATTTTGGGCGCTTGGAGATAATTACATTGTCCCAACCGTTGGACTCATTATCTCCAAGCTGGGCGGTAACAATTTCAAAGGAATTACTATTGGTCAACTGTTCGTATTGTCACTGTATCCCATCAGGTCCAGAGGGGGTTGTCCCTGGACCTGGGGTTTTTGCATAAATAGTGATGTCTGTGTGCTGTTTGTTTTACCCTTAACTCGCAGCCTCGACTCATGTTGTAGGGAACCGGGAATCCTAGCTTTACTATAGCTAGTGGGATATTCTACACTTACAGGTTTCTGCCGTTTGAAGCAGCGTTCAACTCTCCAACTTCGAGAACCAGGACATCCAAGCGATCCAACCTCCTGCTAGACCGGAGGCAATTGTAACAATTGGTGGCAGCGGCGGGATCAACCTGGAATCTCTAGGAGAGGTACAGAATGGATGGAGAACGCCTACGATAAGCTAAAGCGCACCACCTTAAAGGATTTATTTGAAAGCCGAGGTGGGAACGCGAGCAACCGTCCGAGGAGAGAGCTGATTGCTGATCTAACTGAGCTAGATCAAAGCTTCACCATGGCAGAGACCACGGTAATGCCCAACCACAAGAAAACGAGGATTGTTAGGGAAAGGCTCCTACTATATGGGCCAAACCCTTCGATAGAACTAGTGCAGCAACTGATGGCAGATATACAAAGAGCTAGAGCCCACGAGCTCAGCGTACTGACTGCCCAGCATGGTCCTACCAGAACGGTATCCAGCAACCCCATGGAGCTTGATGGGACAACGAAAGATCCCGTTTGCAGCATTCAAGCCGTTCGTGGAAAGCGAGATGGGAATTGACGAATTTTTAGCCAACTTCGAGAGGCAATGTGCCCTTTATCAAGTCCCCACCGAGGAATGGCCTCGTATCTTGGCGGGGAAGCTAGCAGTGAGAGCCATGGAAGCCTTTAGGACCCTCAGCACCGAAGAGGTAGCCCAATACTCGCTAGTAAAGGACACCCTGCTGAGCTGACACCTATCGCAGGCAATTCCGTAGCACGAAAAAGAAGCAGAATAACACACATGCCGAATGGGCCCACCAAATGCGGAGGACTGCTACTCATTGGATTAACGGATGTCGAGCAATCACTGCAGCCGAGATTTTGGAACTATTTTTGTTAGAACATTTCTATGATGGACTAAATCAGAAAGACAGAGAATTTTTAAAAGATCGACGACCTAGCGACCTCAATGAAGCCGCGAAATTGGCTGACGAACACAGAGACTCTCAGATACAGGAGTTCACTAACTCCCGAACAGTGATACGTACCGAACCAAGAGACAATCACCGAGTTATCCCACGAACGGCGTTTCGTACGCCTGTGCCAGCAGGACCTATCCGATACACCGGACCACCCAATTATCCCCAAGAACGCCC